ACTTGGTCTTAAATGGGGTTGTAGACATGAGAGCTATGAATGATTTTAAGGGATTGGGAAGAAAAATTTGGAAGGATTGGGTGATATTTTAGAGGGAAAGATGAGACTGAAGGAGTTGATCCTTTCTCCCAAGTTTCTGGTGTTTGTCACTATGATGGCAGGGCAGTTATTAGATACTGAGCACTTTAAGAATACTGGATTGCAGGAGGATGATCCAGAATTCATTTTAAGTACTTTGAGTTTCAGGGGATTTTGTTATATTTAAGTGAAAATAGATAGGAGAGAGATATAATGGGTTTGGTACTCAGTTAAGTGTTGATTAGAGATACAGATTGAAGAGTCAGTTGCTTTACAACTGATAATTGAAAACAAGCACGTGTGAAATTGCCCAAGGAGACAGTTGAGGATCAGAAGAGGGGGCCTAGAATCCAGCCTCAGGAAACACAGTAACATGAAGGGCTGTATCAAGGAGGATGATTGAAAAATTTTAACTTTTATATATTCATGTTCCTAGGTTTTTTAAAAGCAAGTATTTTATAATAAGTAATCACAATATATGAGTTATTTATCAGGGCCTCGTCAAGTGGCAGAGTCCATCAGGTTATTTGAACAGAGAACTTAATATAATGAATTATTAACTAGCATAAAATTAAGTAGGGAAATGCTAGATCAAAAACAGTACCCTAAAGATATCATGGAGGAGACTCCTATAGACGGTACCTAGAGCTGAGGGAGTATGTGGAATGGTTTTAATTGTTAGAACTTCAGTACTTCAGGAGGAAGGGCCATGCAGAGCTCATACTCAGACCGCTGTGGAAGAGTGTGCTGGCAAGTTAATGCTGCTGCTAACATCTTGAGAGTGAGGGTTGCAGAGGATGAAGCTGACTTTTCAAGTGTTAGAAAACCTGCAAAATGTATCTAGCTTCTGCTACGGCGAGAAATTAATATGGCTGATGATGCAGAGAGTTAGAAAGCTGTCCATCATGGGCCTCAGTGTCCCTGCACACTTTGGCTGGGTATGCCAAGAAAGCAAGTCCCTGATTACTGTTTACCCAGATCATCACAGTTGTATTTGCATCACGAGATCAGGTAGTGTCTTACCTTGAACAAATAGACTTGCTTTTGCTTACTGTAAAAGATTCTCCAAGTTCAGTGTTGTCCTGTAAAGCAACCCATTCTGTGTAGGTCTTCCTGGGCCCTGTGCATCATCCCTGTGGGATCAGAGTGGATAAGGGGACATGCACAATAGATGCAGACGAACTTGAAGCTTTGGCTGCTATTTTGCCATGAATAATATAGTTATTTATCTCTGACTCAGAGGCTTGTGTCTTCTGCTAACTTCGATGAAATTGTGGCATGCTAACTTGTTAGTTTACAAGAAGAGTGGAGTGTTAGATTTCATTATGAATCTAAATTTTTTTTTTTTTGGTGAGAGGTATGTATGAATATGTTTCTGCCTCTTTGTGTTAATTGCAAGTTTTATGGTGACCTTCCATTGATCCTAGACAACCTCTGTGTAGCCTTGATGTTTTTATTCATGGTGACAATGAAAAATTAATCTGGAATACAGCGTAGAGTCACTGAGGGAAAATACAAAAAAAGAGTTAAAATATATTGAGAGGTTTCAAATAATATTTAGTAGGAGAATTATGTTTAATGGAATAAATAATAATCTGAAAAGATACCCAAAGCAAAGAAGAAACATTAAAAGCTTCCAAAGAAAAAAGGTCGATTACTTACAAAAGAATGACGACTGACAGCCGAATTTTCAGCAACGGTAGATGCCAGAAGACATTAGAGTAATATCTGTACAGTGCTGAGATAAAATAGCTGCCTGCCCAGAATTTTATATTAGCCAAAATATCATTCAAGAAGGAGGATATAAGGTTTAAGACAAAGAGAGGTCTGTGTGTATGTCTGTATACACATTTATATGTATATACACATATGTAAACATATTAATTAATATATAATATGTAAACATTAATTTATATATACAAATGAAACATTTTGAAGAATTTAATTATAGCCTATAAAAATTAGCTCTGGAGCTAGTCTGCCTGAGTTAAATTCAAACTAACCACTTACCAGCTGTATGATCATAGGGAACACACAATTTATCTATTTTTTACCACAGCTCCTCTTTTGTAAAATGGCGTGACAGTAATAATCTCTTTGGGTAATTGTGAGGATTAAGCGAATCAGTAAATATTTTTTTCATTATAATCATCATTGTTATCCCAGCACTTTTGTAGGACATGTTGAAAGTTCTTAAAGTCCTTGTAGGTTGGCATTGAATATCTTAGGGAGATATTGCTATGGAAGAGGAAAGCAGTAATTTACTTGTTTATTGTAATTCTCTATATCCTTTGGCTTATTCAGTTAATTCATTCAATATTTGTTGAGCACCTGTTATGTGTTAGGCACTGTTTCAAGCATTGATAATAAAATAGTGAATTAAAAGGCCAAAAAAAAATTCCTGTCCACTTATGGGTTATGTCTTGCCGTGCTGAAAACAGGTAATGAACGAGGTGGGTATGTGAAAAATATGTGTGTAAAAGCATTTAATTATTCTTAAGGAGTAATAAAAGGGACTGGTAGAGCCGAAGTCGAGTGCACAAGGGACCCAGTGCGTGAAACAAGGGGTGAGGCCTTAGACATAATATGGATCCACCTCTTACAAAGGGTTGTGCCTTTTTTAAGAACTGTGGCTTTTACTTAGAATGAGATAGGAAGCTGCTTGATGGTTCTAAACCCTTGAGTTCTCTAACATTCTCACTGCTAAGTTGAGAATGGGCTTTTGGAAGTATTACCTTAGTAACAAATAAATGTAATAAACAATTGAAAACTATTCTAATGTCACTTCCCTCCTCGAGTGTACAGTAGAGGGCAGGCATTTGACTCAGCAGTTAAGGTTAAGGTGCTGCCTGGGATGACTATATTCATATCCGAGTGCCTGGGTTTGAGTCCTGGCCCCACGCGGATTCCAGCTTCCTGCTGGTGAGCACCCTGAGAGCTCAGGTACTTGGGTCCCTGCCACCCATGTAGAGACCTGGATAGAATTCTGGGCCCCTGACTTTGGCCTGGCCCAGCCCCATCTGTTATGGACATTTAGGGAGTGAACTGGTAGAGAGGAGTTCTCTATCTCACTCTTTCAAATAAATAAATAACAAAATTTGAAAAATTCTAAAAGAAAGAAAAAAAGATTTTTAGTGGTTCTGTGTTACTTAGTATGTTCCCTTAACTTTCATTATTTGAAATCTTGCCACTTTGTAGCTGTTAAATACTACTACTTCCAATTCTTTTGGATTTAGAATTAGTTCTCCCAATGCTAATTCTTCTAAACCCAAGACTAATTTTACTAGTTCTTTTGCTTTAAAGATTTTATTTATTTATTTGAGAGAGAATTAAAGACAGAGGAAGAGACAGAGAGAAAGGTCTTCCATCTGCTGGTTCACTCCCCAATGGCCACAACAGCTGGAGCTAAGCCACTGATCCGAAGCCAGGAGCCGGGAGCTTCTTCCAATTCTCCCATATGGGTGCAGGGGCCCAAACACTTGGGCCATCTTCCACTGTTTTCCCAAGCCGTAAGCAGAGAGCTGGATTGGAAGAGGAGCAGCCAGGACTTGAACTGGTGCCCATATGGGATGCCAGTGCCGCAGGTGGAGGCTTAGGCTACCACGCCGAAGTGCTGGCCCCGCCTAGGCTAATTCTATTACCTATAATTTTTTAAATAGAAATAACTAGAAAATTTTACATAATGAACATTAAATACATAACTTTTTTTTATAAAAGTAAATGTTTTAGAAGTCTTCATTTAAGTACACTTGAGGCTCTTAAACATGTGAATGATTGATTTGCTTTCATCATCCTGTCAAGAGTCCTAGTTGTAGAAAATAATCCATTTTAGCTAATGATTTGTTAGAGAGTACTTGACTAGTTAACAGAATCTCCACAGGGACTAGAAAATAGTCAGCTTGAAACCATACAGCCAAGTGAAATGGTCAGGCATACCGTTCAGCAGATTGAGTGCCAACTCTTGTCTCCATTGCTCACTAGAGCTTCTGTTAGAGCTACCAAAGAAGAATCGGATAGTGCCACCATTTTCTAACGAGACAAACAGCCTCCATCACATGGCTGCTGCCTCAGTGCACTCTCGTCCTTCTTCGAAACAGCACATTGTATTTAGACGTGGTGGTGCTTTGATAATATCTAGACCTCATAGCTAGAATGGAATCTAGGAAATATTATATCCTTGTATAGTTTTTCATCCATGAAGTATGCTTGAAAGGAGATTTGCATGAGTGCTGAGTTTCTGCAACATTGATAAAGACATGGAAATAAAAATGACAGTCCTTTTACAATTATCAGATTGAATTTGATAATAGCACCTAAGTTTAAAAGTTTGGAAACCACTGATAATTAGGCAATTTATTGTTTGGGGTACCAAATGACAACAGTTGCAGCTTGAAGGTACAGCTTGTATAACTCACAAACTAAATGTGGAATGTGATACCTATGTTAATTTATTTCCTTTTTATAATGTGGTTAGATCTTAATGGAAAATGTTGAGACACAAACATTCTTACAACATTTCAAGGGCATTTATACTTGTAGTTTCACCTTCTTTTAATATTTGAACCAAGCTTGTATATCTTGGATTGAAAAACCGTAGCCAAATTTTTCTCTCAGTTTTTTTTTTTTGTGTGTGTGCCAGCTGAAAATACAGGTAGTTAACTTCAACATCAAAAAACATCTTTCTTTTCTTTTCAGTTGGTTGGTCTTTCAGGTCTTCACATGCTGGACAGCTTTCCTCAGCACTCAGTTTGCAAACATTTTCTGTGATTGCTGTATGCCCTGTTGTAACAATGAGATACCTTTTCCCAGCTTGTGTTTCCATGTACCCAGTACGTTGTGGTGTGCATACTGTGAGAGGCAGCAGTAAGCAAATGCCTACTGATGGCTGTAATTTATCAATATTCATGTTCTTTGAATCTCAGATATTCAAGACTAAAGCAGTACAATTGGCTGAGAAACTCCTTCCTGCTTTTAACACGCCTACTGGGATTCCCTGGGCAATGGTGAATTTGAAAAGGTAAATTCTATTTTAAGTGGTTATTCCTGTTCTGGGAGAATTAAATTAACTGATTTAATTTTTTTTAATCTTTGTGATCTTAAAAGTTTCTAATGATCTGATCCCACCATGCTTTCCAAGACTTAAAATTGTTTTCCTCTGAATGTTTGCAAAATCATTTTCTATAATAAATTTACTGATTTTTTTAAAAAAATTTTCCTTTATTTCATAACAGGTTACTTACCTTAACATTATTCCATTTAGCACTCCTTGTTCCTCTGAATCTAGGTTTTTCTTTCTCATTCACATGGTTATATGTATTTGTTTCTTTTATTTGTTTATCCATTTCCATTTAGTCCTATAATGGATTCAGTGTACTTTTCCTCTTTTTGTGTGCCATCTTTTGATCTTATAAGTCAAAAATAGAAAACAGTATACTTGGAAATTATCAATATGAAGGGGAGACATAATTCATAATGTTCACTGTAGGGACAATTACTGAAGTTCAGAATGAACTGCTAAAATTAATTCTTTGCAGTCAGTTTTATTATGGAAAGCACTGATTTTTCACTTAGGAGTGTATGAAATGTTTCCTTCAAACAGCTTTCCTAAATCATATAAAGATATAAAATTAAAATTTGAATGATGTCAGAGTAGTTTAACTTTTATTTAAATAATTTATGCTGACTGAAATTTTTGCTGCTCATTTTTTCTCCAAGTAAGATTTATTATTCATTTTCTTGTTAAAGTATGGAAATTACATGAAAATCTGCTTTTTGCTCTCCTTAGACTTAAACCTTTTAGAATTAAAGTTAGAAACATTTTTCTGGAGATGTGAATTTTGACTTTATTTGAAAAAAAAAAAAACAAGTTAATCTATTTCAGTGATTTCTTTCTAATGGAGAACTTTAGATTTATATTGAGAAATTAGGATTAATACAAACAAGAAATTAAATTTATTCTCTGATTTCATGTTCTGTATAAAATGTAGATTACTTCCTTTTTGAGGAAAAAGTTGACTAGTGTTCATAGCAACCTCTGTCACTGTAAGGCCAACTGATGTTGTGTATATGCTTGATCTCTTTAGTCTCAGGACAGATTCTGGTATTTTCTTCAGAATCGTCAAATTAAATGGCCTTCTTAGATGATAACTAAAGACTAATTCTGACAAGAAGAAAAGACTGGAGGCCATTCTTTTTTGTTGTCTGCATAGAAGAATGAAAAATCAAGTTTAAATTACAGAACTTAAGTTTTTAGATTAAGAATAAAATGAAAGTTTTCAGGGTTTATGTGCTGAGCATTTTATAAGCTGTATTTTCATTTAATTTCTTTGAATTTATTTATACAACCTCATAATTTTACTTGAGTTTATATACGTGTATATATTATATAAAAATACATGTATATAAATATGTTTCATATATGGTATTGCGATTTTTAGAAAAGCCCTTTCCCCCCATTTTTTTTGCTGGGATATTCAAGCTTTCCACACATAAACCTTTTCCTAATCTTATAACCTGAACATCAACCTGCGTTAACAATCTAGCATGTTTCTCCTCTGTGGTATAGCTTTCTTAAATTGTTTGTTTACTTAAATTGAATGCTTGCTTTTCTGCTTCTTACCTTGATACCTCATCTGATAAAGCTCTAAATCAGTCTTTGTGATGACTAAAAAAATGAGGTGTGGGGAAGTTATGCAATAATTTAGTCTTTTATTTTTGTGACAATGGCATTTGTTCTTTTCCATCATTTTCCCACTGTAAAAGTTGGTGTCCTGTTACCTCCTCCTGTGTCCTTCTCTATAAGTTATTCTTAAGAATATGATTGCAGGATCAGGAGGCACATGCCTTTTTAAAACCCTTTCCCCTTTATAATACAGATTCTCACGTGTGGGTTTGCTGGATAAAAGGAATGTATATTTTTAAATGTAATAGGTACTGCCAAAATGCTTTCCAAAAAGGTGTATCACATTTCACTAACAGCATGTGAGAGTACCTGAATGTCTAGATATAAGTTCTTTTGAATTTTGACAAACTGGTGGCTAAAAGGTGTTGCTTACTGTTATTTATTTTGTATTTTCTGACTAGCAAATTTGAACACCCTTTCCATAAATTTATTGGACATATATAATTGCTGTTTTAAGAACTGCTTATTCCTAAGTGTTGCTTGGGTTATCTTTTTCTCATTAATTTTAAAGTGCTTTGTAGATTATAGAATTAATTATTTTCTCCCTGTTCTACTACTTATGTCTTGCTTTTACTTATAATTTGCTATTCATAAATTTAAAATTTATATATATATTCAAATGCATCTTTTATAATTTTGTTTATAATCTTTGTTAAAATGATTGTCTACTTACATTTTTATATTCTAGATTATATGGAAGTAATTTAACACTGCTTTAGTGAAGTATGGAATTAGTTGTAGTTTTCAGTTATTCATATTTATCAGATTGAGGAAATTTCCTATTTCACTGAGAGTTTTTTTTTAATTTTAATCACGAATGGATGTTGATGTTGCTGGGTATGTTTTATTCATTTGTGGATATGATCATAATTTTTTTTGCTTTTGTTCCAATATAAATTACTTACAAGATTTTCAAATGTTAAATCAACTATGAGTTCTTTGGGTACTTCTTGGTCATAATATATTATCTTCTTTATGCTTTGCTGGTTTTGATTCCCTGATGCTTTTTTGAAACTTTACTAATGGATACTGTTTTTTTTTTTTTTTTTTGTAATAATTTTAGCAGGTGTTGGTATAAGTTATCTGGTATCATGAAATGGGGAATATTCTTCTCCCTCTGTTTTCTGAAATAATTTGTGTAATGCTGATGTTACTTCATTAAATGTTGGATATATTCACCTACAAGTATCTGGGCCAGAATTTTCTTTGTGGGAGGTTTTTAATAGTTTACTTTTTCTAATATATACCAAATATCTCTAAACTTCTATTGCTTGTGGTCAGAAAGTGAGAAATATTTTTTTGCTTGTTTTTGTTTTTTAGTATTCAATGCAGAGTTTTTGTTATTTGAGATTTCTGAATATCTATAAAATAGATGTGAAATGTAATATCTATACTTTTATTTTGATCAGTTGGAAAAACCAAAACATTTGAGCATTAATTATTACCTGGTTGAGTTTTGAGAGCTTATCATCTTCTTCTTCTTTTTTTTTTTTTTTGTTTGAAAATTCAGTTTTAAAAATTTATTTAAATTTCCTTGAGTTGATGGATAGGATACAAATGAGACTATAACTTTCATACCCCCAAAGTTTATAAATCATTGGAAGGAATGGATGGAAGGAAACAAATGGACTGATGTAATATTTTTGAGGACTTTGGCTGGAGTTGAATCAGATTGATTGGAAACTTAAGGGCATATCTTTGTAAAAGAATTAAATATTGTGTACTTTTTGTTTTGTAAAGAAGATATGAATTTGTATTCAGAGATAAAATATCAGTCATAAGGATGAGGATGAAGACATACCAAAATAAATATAATTTGGATAAAATACAGATATCAAGAAGGGTTCAATATGAAAAGTGAAGAGGTGAGGATCAGGTGTCATAGCACAGACAGACAAAACAGAGTTGAACGAATGAAATGGAAAGACATAAAGAGAAAATGATTTGGAACTAAACCCACCAACACAGAGAAGGCAAGCAACAAAGCAATAGACTCATCTGCATGTATTTGGAAGAAGCCAAAACTGAAAGCCAGAATATGGAAGCAAAACAATATAAAACCATGGGCAAGTCCAGTACAGCTGAAAATATCTGATAGGTCCAACGTGGAAAATCAATATGGAACCCCAGGTGCCTGAAATCAAGAGATGGTCATATTCAGAGACATCAATGGCAGCAGTGTCCTGGAAAAGATTTCAACATCATAGGTCTTGAATTTTGAGAACCATTGGTGATTGATTTTTGATACTTCAATCCTGGAGGGCAGAATAATCGGAAGACAATGAGAGCAATGAACACAGTTGTTTTTATAGGATAAAAAGAAAGAAACCTACAGTAAGGATAAAGCAGATGTATAACCCAAGATGTATTGGTGCACCACAAGGGTTATAAATCCAAGAAGCAATAATTTAAAAAAATAATGTTAAGGGCTCCGAAAAGTAATCCCATCTCAGTAACTGAGCATTGAGCTAGCTTAGAGATAGGAGAATATAGGGGGATTTCAAAAAGGTTGGGAAAAACTGAATTAAATTACCTTGTAAGGCCTTTGAGCCAGATCAGCTTTGTAGCCTGTTTGTGTTTGATCCCAAGCTAAAAATGACCTTCCCAACATTAACATGTTTGTACACACAGGGACATTCACACCTTCATATGCACTGGCACATATACAAACATGGCCATTGATCCACCCACAGTGTATGAAAAAAAATGCAGCAAAAATTACCAAGCAAATATATAAAAATGCAGTTTTTGAAGGTCTATGAACAAAAATGGGAAGCGACTCTACGTATTCTTTTTTTTTTTTTTAATTTTCAATTATCTTTATATACAGAAGATCAATTTAGCGTATGTTAAGTAAAGATTACCACATTTTGGAGAGCTTATCATCTTCTTATAGTTATATAACTGGAATTTTTCTGCTTTTGGCAGTGCTGTATCTTGTTATTAGGATTTTCTTATTTTTCTGAATTGTTAAGATACAGGTATCACATTTAATATTGTAGATTCTTTCTCTGAGGCTGTATGTAAAATAAAAAGTGAAAATCTAATGTAACATTTGCTATTTTGAAAAGTGAATGGGCCTTTTCTTTGTGACTTTTGGCTAGAAAGGTTTTTTGTTTAAGATTGATTGATTGATTTGAAAGGCAGACAGAGAGAGAGGAAGAGACAGAAGAATGTCGTCTGCTGGTTTACTTCTCAAATGGCTGCGGCAGCCAGGCCTGGGCCAAGTGAAACCCAAGAGCCAGGAACTCCATCTAGGTCTCCCATGTGGGTGGCAGGGGCCTAAGTCTGCTTCCTTCGTAGGCAGGGAGCTAGATTGTAAGCATAGTAGCTAGGACTCTGATACTGGCTGCCAGTATCCCATGTGGTGGCTTAACCACTGCACCCAACCTTGGCCCCTGGCCAGAAAGTTTTGCATGGAATAGTAAACTATTGGACTTCCAAGCTTTGTGTTTGTGTTTGACCACATTATTATCCATTTGCTTTGCTGAAACCTGGGTGATCTTTCTAAATAGCAGACTTTGTTCCTTAAATATTATGTTAAATTCCTTTAAGTTATCAATGACTTTCCATCACACTTAAAAATCCTAAAATTTTATCTCTGCCTACTGAATTCTTGAATAGTTTGGATTATAAGTAGCTCTCTACCCTCATTCCTTATCTTTCTTTTCCCCTGAATTTCTGAGCTCCAGCCACACTAACCTTCCTTTTGCTCTTTTCCCTACTAGGATTTTGCTTCTTCCAGATGTGTTCATCACTGGCTCCTTCTCATCATTCAGGTCTCAGTTTTCACATCCTGTCATCTTCAGAAACTCTCTAACATAATACCTAAAGGACTTCTTTTAACTCACTTTTCTATTTCTAGTATGAAGTAATCTATTTCTCTATTTAATCTCCTTAAAGTGAGGATAACTGCTTAAATCATCTTATTTATTATAGAAGCAGGAATTTTAGATTTCAGGTCCACCACTCTCTCACAGCACAATAGGCACTTATTGTGAAATAAATGACGTCTTATATATTATATGCATATTTTCTTTGATTCTTACTTTTAGCTGTAAAAATTTATTAGTGGTATCTGCCTTTAATAATTTCAAAGAAAATGTAAAAATAACACCAAACAAGAAACTTTAAGCAAGATTGTGATATCTATTTTAATGTTTTCTCAACACAGATGAATATAGCACATTGAATTGGCAGTATAGAAATGGATATGAGGAAAAGATTTAAAGGTTTAAAAAAGAGGGAGGGGGTGTTTGGCTCATTTAAGATGCCCACATCCCATATTGGAGTACCTGAGTTTGAGTCCCTGCCCCATTTCTAAACCAGCTCCCTGCTAATGCACACTCTGGGAGGCAGCAGGTGATGACTCAAATATTTAGGTCCCTGCCACCCATGTGAGAGACCCAGATGGAGTTCTGGGCACCTGGCTTCAAGCTAGCCCAAACCCAGTTATTGGGGCCCTTTTCTTTGTTTGTCTGTCTGTCTGTCTCTCTCTCTCTCCTTCCCTTCTTCTCAGTAATACTGTGCCTTTCAAATAAGTAAAACTTAAAAAAAGATTATTTTCATCAAGTCATTAGTGACTCTATAACTGCACATGGACAGGGCAAGTCTCAAAAGAAACAGACAGGAATTTATAAAAAGCACCTAAAGGGCTAAGGAGAGAATTTCATAACTATGTAGTACCAGGGAGAAGCCAACATAGAGGAGCCATGTTAAATATGCCTGGCTTCCACTGAGGTCCTCGAGGCCCCTGTCCAGAAGTGGGGGTAAAACTTACATACTATCCTTAACAAAGCCTAAAACCAGGGTAATCTGCATGTACTCAACCCATGGTTTAGAAGAAAGTTAACTTTCTTAGAAGATATCATTCTAAAACTTCTATAACTTTTTCTTTATTTAGTCTAACTTTAAATAAAAAAATTATAGGGGCCAGTGCTGGGGCATAGAAGGTTAATGCTCCACTTGCAGTGCCAGCATCCCATATGGGTGCTGGTTTGAGTCATGGCTGCTCCACTTCCAATCCAGCTCCCTGCTGATGAGCCTGGGAGGGGCAGCAGAAGATGGCCCAAATCGTTGGGCCTCTGCACCCACTTGGGAGACCTGGAGGAGGCTTCTGGCTCCTGGCTTTTGCTTGGCCTAGCCCCAACCATTGCTGCAGTTTGGGGGATGAACCAATGGGTGGAAGTGCTCTCTCTCCTTATCTCTGCCTTTCAAATACATAAAGAAATCTTTAAAAATTTTTTTTTTAAATTATAGGTCAGACTTTAAAAAAAAAAGAAAAGCAGAGACATATCCTAGTTGTACCTATATAAATGAAATGTGCATAAGACTATTCATTGTGAAAGCATTCATAATAAAATATTGAAAATATCCCAAGGAACCATCAATATGGGATTGATTAAATCTGTTATGTCTATTTATAGAATGCAGTCGTTTTCACACCAGTAATACTAGCATTTAGGGCAGGACAGTTCTTTATTGTATGATACTATTCTGATCATTCCAGGAAATTTTAATTTCTTTTGTCCTAGCACAGTGAAACCAAACTGTAGTTTCAAGGTTTCAATTCAAAATACTGTCATAAATTTTCATATACCTCTGGAGTGGCACATTCCAAATTGAGAGTCATTTATATCATGGAGTTCTGTGCAACTTTCAAAAAATGGGAAAGCTGCCTGTAAACTGATAGGAAAGACCACTAATGTAGTTCTTAAGAGTAAAATACAAGGACGGAGCAGGAAGTGTAGTTTAAGAAAAGAGAAAAGGAAGAATATGCATTTGGAGTGCCATGAATGCATAAGAAGTACTCTAGTAAAATGTAAGAAACTAATGATTGTGATGTTGAATTCTGATGGGGTGAAGGGAAATGAGAATGGGTGAAATGTATTTACTGTATGCCTTTTTATATTGTCCTGATTTAGTAAGCAAATAAAACTAGATAAAAATAGGTAGTCATGTTAAATATAATTTCTAAGGAACTTTTTTAAAAGGTATATATTCATTTTCAAACATTTTGGTTATCACTCCAAACCTGCCTATTTTCTCTTCCTTTCAGTGGAGTTGGGCGAAACTGGGGCTGGGCTTCTGCAGGTAGCAGTATTTTGGCTGAATTTGGTACACTCCATATGGAGTTTGTCCATCTCAGCTACTTGACAGGAAACCTGGTTTACTACAACAAGGTTAGTTTTTTTCCTTTGCCTCTTTGTTATAAAAGCATCCTTTAAAATTTGTCCAAATACTTGATTAATGCTTAAAATGCTTGCCTTCCTAGATACAGGTTTATCAAGGCCCTGGCCTTCATTAATTTATTTTAATCACTCAAAGAAATGCACATATTTAAAGTGTTTATTATTATTTGATAAGCTGTAATTACTGTTAGGTTTTTAAAAAATTATAGGGGCAGGTTTTAAGCTGCCACTAGGAATGCTGCATCTCATATCAGAGACCTGTGACCGAGTCCCACCTCTGCTTCAAACCAGCTTCCTGCTAATGTGCACCTTGGGAAGCACAGGTGATGTCTCAAGTACTTGAGTCCCTGCCACCCATGTAGGAAACCTGGTTGAAGTTCCTGCCTCGGGCTTTGGCCTGGCCGAGACCTAACTATTGGAGGCATTTGGGGAGTGAGCCAATGGGTGCAAGCATGCTCTTGTGCCCGCTCACTCACTCTGTCTCTTTCTGGAGCTCTGCCTTTCAAATAAATAAAAATAAGTAAACTTTTAAAAGTTCTGTTGCCATTTCTATTCAGCTTTGTGCTGAAGTTCCTAACCAGTATTATAAGAAAAAGTAATGAACAGAAGGTTTAAGAATTAAAAGGGAAGAAAGAAAATAGTCATTATTCACAGATTATATGATTGCCTAATATATTAAGACAGTCTACATTTAAAAGACTAGAAATAAGAATTTAATGTTTTTTCAGTAATAAAAATCAGTAGCATTTCTCTTCATTAGCTACAAAAGGCCAGAAGGTGTCATTTTATAAAGAGATACATTATATGATAAGACCAAAAGTGTAAATTTCCTACAAATAAATCTAAGAGTGCAAAACTGTATTAAATAGCATTGAAAAGGACCTATGGAGAGATGCATTGTATTCATGTATAGGGAAATAATATGATAAAAATCTCAATCATCTCAACAATTTGAGATGCAGCACCTATTCATTGCCAAACAAATCACCAATGGCCCATTTTTAAAAATGAAACTTTACAAAATACTTCTAGAATGTATATGGTAGGGAAACATTCAGGACATTTCAGGAAATCATGTTGGGTAAATTTGCATAACCACATTACCAATACTGACATAGTGTAGTGTAGGTGAGTAGAGACAAATAGACTAATAAATAAAATATAGAGTTCTTAAAAAGACTCATATATATATGGAGACATGTTATGACAAGGATAGCATAGCACTGTGGATTATAACAGTTCCATTAATAAATTCTCTTGAGTAAAGAACCATTTTTAAATAAAAAGATTTATTATTTATTTCAAAGGCAGAGTGAAGGAAAAATTTTGGGAATATTTATTGTAGAAACAATATTTGAAGTTCAGCAGTTTAGTTCATTGACTTTTTGTGTATTAAATTCAAGTTAATTTTATACCTTTTTATACAAATGTCATAATTTCATTTCTGTGAGATTATTTCTTATATGTGAATATGTATATGTTGACTGTCCAGAATGATGCATTCCTCTGATGGCTATTTCTGGGTAGTTGAATGTTGGGATTTAAAACGCATCTATCCATGCTGTTTTCTCTAAATTGCTTGATTCTAAAATAATATTTAAAAAATAATTTAAAATATAAAATAAAATGTAAAAAAATAAGTATAATAGATAATTAAAACCTAGATTAAGCCTTGATTACATTAGTTTTTGTTAATTGTATTATTTACCTTATTTTGCTTAGGTCATGCATATTCGGAAACTGCTTCAGAAAATGGATCGTCCAAATGGTCTTTATCCAAATTATTTGAACCCAAGAACAGGGCGCTGGGGTCAATGTAAGTATTTCTGCTACAACTGATGCATTGTGAAAAGGTTGTTTATCTGAAAACTATGCTTGGTATAGTGAAAGACATTCTCAGATAGTTTCTAACCCTGTTATCTACCAGTGCCATTACCTTTGGCAAGTCTCTGATCACTTAGAGCTTTGGTTTTCCTACTTGTAAATGAAGACTTTAATAAACCATCTGTGGGAATAATTTATTTTGTGCATATGTAAGGACTTTTCTAAAATCGTTGTGTAGCAGTCAGAGTTTAACCTTAATGATAAATCTTGTCTTCATGTATATTAGAGCACTGCCTGGGATGGGTATTTGTAGAAAGAGTATGAAAAACAAATGAGTAAATTAAATGACTAGAAAAGGGGGCAGTGGTTCTCCAAAATGCTATGTTTAGTCATTCATTTTAGAAGAAGATACCATGGCGTCCATTATTTACCAGGCTGTGTGCCAAATTCCAGATGAGACTTGTGATGGAGAAGTAATACACAGGGCTTGGGCTGAGTTTGAAGAGCTCCCAGGCTGGAAGGATAGGCAGACAGACTTAGAAGTGTTTGGAATATACTGTGATAAATGTAGTAGAGCAGTGTTCGCATTGTTATGAGTAATTGTGGCAGAAGTGATTCCTTCTGCCTAAAGGGAATTTTTTCTTTTCTTTTTTAATTTGGAAAGGGGGCAATTTTTCTTATTAGAGCTTTAGAATTTATATTTGAAGGAATTGATAATTTAAAATCATATTGAAGTAGAAATGTGGAACTTAGAGAATTTTGGTAATTATGGTTTATCAGTGCTATTCTCTTAAATGGTGTAAAACTAATACAAATAGTAAAAGTTGCAAAATATTTCTAATAAAACATGTTAGGTTTATTTATGAGACTAATAAAATAGTGAGGTAGTATATTAAAAAAAGTAATAGTCATTTAATTTTTTTTTAAGATTTATTTATTTATTTGAAAGACAGAGTTACAGAGAGAGGTAGAGACAGAGATACGGTCTTCCATCTGCTGGTTCACTCCCCAGATGGCTGCAACGGCTGGAGCTGAGCCAATCCAAAGCCAGGAGCCAGGAGCTTCCTCTGGGTCTCCCACGTGGGTGCAGGGGCCCAAAGACTTGGCCCATCTACTGCTTTCCCAGGCCGTAGCAGAGAGCTAGATAGGAAGAGGAGCAGCTGGAACTAGAACCGCGCCCATATGGGATGCCTGCGCTTCAGGCCAGGGCTTTAATCTGCTGTTCCACAGCGCTGGCCCCAGTCATTTAATTTTATGTATTGAAAACACTACTGAATCTGCCAGTGAAAAATATACATTGTTGTGAGTACCAAAAGTAGGAAAATGTTTGCTATGAAATTATCTTTTAGGATTTTCCCCAGGAAATTGTCTTTTATATTATGAAAGGAAAATAGATTAGTCAATATAGTTAATGTTTTCCATGGATATAGTAATAGATCTTAATCTGTTGGCTCTTTTATACTTTCCTTGTCTCTTGAAATTCTTTACATGTAACTCATTTTGTTTTTTATTTTGAAGAAAGTATTTTAATGGTTAGACTGAGTGAAAATAATATTTTCTGAGAAAATGGAAACCTGAAAGCTGCATTGTTAAAATGAAAAATATAGCCTTCTTATTGCAGATGAGGGAGACTGGAAGGAATATCTACTCGATAATTTGGGTGAATTCTATTGTACATTTTTTGCCCCTTACAGTTTTTAGTAAGATTTGGGAATATTCAGGCATTGAGGAAAAACTTTTTTGCTCAGTTTCTGAGACCATAGGCAAATATTAGGATATGTTCTATGTGCCATAATTATTTAAATGTAAAAGATGAAATCATGAAGGTACTCAAAAGTGGCTGAGTATGTATTAAGAAAAGCCTTTTCTAAGCATGTCACATAAATAAACAGTAAAAGAGAAATTGTCAGTTTTTGCTACATATAAACTACATATAACTTCTTTCATTTCATACCAATTAAAATGTAAATTACAAACTAAGGAACTAACTAGATAAGGACATATTCATAAAACAGTTTTTATATACTTTCTTAATCAAGACTTCTTACAAGCTTATAAGAAAAAATGATCAGCTTAGTTTAAAAATGGGATAAGAAAAGTTAACTGGTAAAAGCATAAATGGTCACCAAACAGATGTTCCTATTTAGCCTTAAATGTGGTGTTAGTGAAAATAAATGGTGCTTGGAGACAGTGTAAAGTGACATCTCATTTTATATAGGCTACTGCTACTACACTAGTACTTACAAAGGATGCTATATTTGTAGTATCTCTGAAAACTGCTCACCAGCTATCTTTGTCTTTCTCTCCCATTTCACCATGCCTGCAATCAAATCAGAGCTGCTTTTAGACAGACACAGTACCTTGACTATCAAATTGACAAAGGAAGCAAACATTTCCCTGTACTCCTCAGAGTGAATATTTATATGCTTTTTGAACCAGAAACTTATTAATTTACATTAAATTTTATGTGTAATCATTTTGGAGTTACTTAA